TTTTTACGTATATTTCATATATTGTAAGTCCCATCATTTATTACGACCCACCTTACCCACTTTTAACAGTACTTTGACGTGTGTTTGAAAATTGAAGAAATAACAAGTGTAACTAAACAAATTAAACAAACACTATATAATAATTAATTTCTAATATGGCAGTCTTCTCAAAATGTTTGCAAAATCATTCTGTCAGAGAGTATGATAAAACGGAATAAAGCTAAAACAGTTTAAAATTTAATTCTCTTAAAACTGATTAGTTTTGTAAAGTTTTTATGCCTATCCCACTTATTATCATAGTCTTAAAAAAGATTTAAAAATGGTTTAATAAAATTCCTAATATACTCTTACGGACTTTGTTTAGGTCTAATTAGTTTTAAGATATTGTTTTGAAAATACTCATAAGAACCGTTATAGGATAGTTTCACAGTTGACAGGCATGGCCAAGCATTATTCTGATTTTACTATATTTAAGTGATTGGAATGCGTAAAATAAGACCTATAAGAAATGCAAGGACTTTTAAGGACATTGATATTAAAGTGGTTAGGTTGAACCAAAAATTCTAAAAATCAATAGGGTTCTAAGTTAGAAACAATTATTGAAGAATATCGAAATCACAAGTCAATCGAATCTTTCTTTCTAGAGTTACGCACAGACGACTAGACAGTTTTTACATTTTTGGACTCAGAATGATCGGAAACGTAATAAAAAAGTCGTAAAAAATGGGGATAAGAAAAATTTTTCGCCTGCGCGAGTGCAATACTGAGGCAACGAAGTGCCCCAGTAAAATTATATTAGAAATTAAAATAATCCTTATTTAACATTATAAACAATAAAAGAGATGTAATTCATGAGTTCAGATAGACAAATTCATAATTTAAGCAATAATTTGCTTTTGAAAGAAATCATATTTTGCGTACCAATTTATATTTAGCAGCATACTAACATTGTTTGTTAAACGAAGCATCATTATAAGAGACATTCTGGATGTTGTTGAGATAAAAGGAATAGTAAACATATTTGTATTTCGTGTTGGACAAGGAAGAACCGAAAATAGTATAATACTAATGCAAGAAGATACCCACAGTTCATTTGGTCATTATTTTATAAATAAATGCATGTAATTTTGTGCCTAAAATCTAGTGAAGAGTGAAGTAATTTTAAATTAATTTTTTAGTAGTACTGTTCTGACAATATTGTAATCCAGTCTAATGTAATACTTTTTATAAAAGAAATTTTAAAGAACCGACTTTAAAATCGTGCAGATACCATAACAAATTGAGTTTACCAATTTTCTTAAAGATAAGATCACCAGATCTTGACCAAATTTATATGGGACCACCCCTGAAGTATAACAAGAAAGAATTATAAAAATCGGACAACGTTGTAAAGAATTATCCCTGAACATACATAAAAAATTAAGAGGATGATGATTTTCTAATGGACCCAACCATTATATTTTGACTAAATTGATATGGGATCACCCCCTTTCTAATAAAAAAAGAATGATAGCAATCGGACAACGTTGTAAAGAATTATCCCTGAACATACATAAAAAATTAAGAGGATGATGATTTTCTAATGGACCCAACTATTAGATCTTGACTAAATTGATATGGGATCACCCCCTTTCTAACAAAAAAGAATGATAACAATCGGACAACGTTGTAAAGAATTATCCCTGAACATACATAAAAAATTAAGGGATGTGTTATATATTTGCCCTAGAATTAGTACTCAAACACCATAGCTTTTAAGAACACTTTATTGAACATTTACAGATACAGAAAAACTCTCACGATCACGCGCCAAGACTCACCTTCTTTTTTTTTATACCTAACCTCCAACATCAATGTTGCCAATTGACATTTTTGGTGCGTTCGGTTGTTGCACAATATTTGTTCATTTATACAACATTTCTTCCCTCTTAAATAAAAAAACACTACATCTTAAAACTAAACTTATAAATCTAACCTACAGGGTGGCTTTACCATTCTCGAAGAGCGTCGCAAAGTAGAACTGGGAGTAGTAGGGATTACAGGAGAGGGGATTTCACAAGGCTGGGTGTTTTCCATTACCTTGGAAGCTATAGGTTCATCAACAGAAGTATTTTGATTCCCTTGATCTTCTCTAATAATTGGTATCTCGACACCTCTTTCCAAATTGGGTGGCGATGTATTAATCACAGGGGTAATATATGAATCGGCTGTCAGGTCTTTCTTCATGTTGTCCGAATGTATGAACTTTACTTTGTTTTGGCACCATACTAGGTAGGTACATCTACTTAAAGTCTTCAAAACTTTAGCCTTAATCCATCTCTTTTCCTTCTCTACATATATCATAACTAACTGCCCCTCTATAAAATAAGGTATTTCTCTTCTGTGCTTATTTTCCTTTTCCAATAATCTTTTTTTATAATTCTCAGTTACTTCCTCCTTTAAATTAGATGGTTTTAGCATCAACAGTTTAGTTCTTGGACTCTGTTTAAAAATTAAATCAGCAGGACTCTTTTGTGTAACAGAACTAGGGGTATTTCGAAAATTGAACAAAAAATTATCAAGTCTATGCTGTAATGTTAATCTAGTTTTTATTTCAAATAAGGTTTTTCTTAAATTTTGTTTTATGGTGCTGACCATTTTCTCTACTAATCCGTTAGAACGAGGGTGATAAGGGGGTGAGTGAATTAACCGATTTACAGAATTTCTGAAATTCTTCGCTATTATAAGGGGGTCCATTATCAGCTACTAGGGTAGCAGGAAGGCCAAATATAGCAAATGAGTGTCTCAATTTTTCAATTGTTTTCACTGCATTTGTCCCTGAAGCCATAATATAGGCATCTACCCACTTAGTAGTAGAATCTACAAATAAGAGTATATCTACATTTTCTATTTTGAGAAAATCTATGTGTACTCTATCCCAATTTTTATTTGAAATAGGCCAAGGTATTAATTTTATTTCTTTTTGTTGATGTGCAAATACTTGACAGGGCTCACAAGAGGACACAATTTGTTTTATATTTTTATCCATGCCAGGCCACCAAATATCTGATCTAGCTTTAAGTTTCATCCGGGTAATTCCAGGATGCTGATCATGTAATAGCTCTAATACTGATGTTCTTAAAGAAGAAGGGATGATGATACGGTTTCCCCAAGTCAAGATACCATTATCAAGGCTCAACTCATTCCTTCTATAAAAGTATGGTTTCAAAGACTCTTCATCAGTATAATTAGGCCATCCTAACCTTGTAAATTCGGTAGCTTTTATGAATATAGGGTCTCTTTTTGATTCCAATAAAATGTCTTTAGCTGTGAGAGGAAGAACAGACTCAACTGAAAATGATAGTACTTCCTCTACATTTGAGGATACTTTTAATGGTAGTCGGCTGAGACAATCAGCATTCGCTAACTACCTCATAATTATATGTGAATAATATGATAGCCCAACGTTGTAATCTGGCATGAGCCAACGTTGGTATACTATTTCTATGGCCAAATATTGTTTTTAATGGCAAATGGTCAGTAATCAATAAGAATTTTGTTCCATAAATAAATTTGTGAAAGGTTTTCACTGCGAAAACCAAAGCCAAAGCCTCTTTCTCTACTTGAGCATAATTTTTTTCTGCTGCACTTAATGTGCATGAGGCATACAAAACAGGACGAGTTTCATTATTTTTAACACAACTAAGTACAGCGCCTAGACCATATTTACTAGCATCCGCTGCCACAACAATTTGACAGGTAGGATCATAATGATCCAGAGTGACACAGTTAAGTATTGCATGCGTAGCTTCATCAAATGCTTTTTGACAAGTATCATCCCAAACAAAAGGTACTTCCTTTTTTAGAAATTTATAAAGTGGAGCATTAATAGTGGATAACATGGGTATAAATTTTGCATAGAAATTGAGTAAGCCAAGAAAGGACCTTAACTGGGTTATATCTGTAGGAGTGGGAGTTTTACAGATAGCTTCCACTTTAGTTTTTTGTGATCGAATACCCTTTTTGGAAATTTCATACCCCAGAAAACAAACAGTTTCTTCAAAAAATACACATTTATCCTCATTAACTTTAATGTTATGGTCATTTAATCTCTGCAAGACTTTATTTACTTTATTTAAACACTCGGTATAATTTTTTCCAGAAATTATTATATCATCTAGGTATATTCCTACTTCAAGATTATTTAAAACTTTTTCTATAGTGGATTGGAAAATAGCTACTGCACTAGACACACCATAAGGTAATCTAGTGTACTGCATTAACCCTAAATGACTATTAATTGTTAATAACTCTTGAGATTTTTTGTCAACTCTTAACTGCAAATAAGCATTACTTAAATCTAAAATAGTGAAAACACTCCCACCTCTAAGTTTGTTAAAAATCTCATCTAATGTTGGTAGTGGGTAGTAATCTGTTCTTAAACTTGGGTTAAGAGTTTTCTTGAAGTTTCCACATATGCGGATTCCCCCGCTTTTCTTCGGAACACATACTATTGGACTAACCATTTCAGCTCGCTGTACAGGTACTAAGATTCCCTCTTTTTCCATAAGCTTTAATTCCTTTTCTACTTCATCTTTGATTTTGTACGGTACAGGATATGGACTATGAAAAATCATAGAGGCATTTTCTTTCAATACAAGCTGTGCTGTGTAACCTTCAATAGGTGTAGTTCTGTCTTTATTGAAAACTTTAGGATATTTCAATTTCATTTCATAAATATTAGATGGTTGAAGGACATTTATTGTTGAGGAAACAGGGCTATAATTCAGATTAGCTCTCCACAATGGTAATAACACATCTAGCCAATCCCTACCTAACAATGGACAAAATTTATTATCTGAACCATCTATAACTAAAGGTAATTTAACATAAATACTTTTATTTAGACTGACATTTACTAACACCTTACCAGCTATTTTAATATTTTCACTTGTGACAGTCTTAATTTTAACATCTGATGATAATAATTTAATATGATTAAAGTATTTTACAAAATCTACTCATGACATTAGACTTACAGAAGCACCTGTGTCAACTTCTATATTAAACTGGACATTTTCAATAAAAACATTTATAAAAGCAGGTACCGACCTTATAGATTTAATGTTAGAAATTGCTCCTATTTCTACCTTCTCTAGACTTGATATATCTCTGACTGAACTATTGACCTTCATTTCAACCATTTTTGTGACTGGACTATTATATTCTTCTTTGACTGGACTATTATGTTCTTCTTTGACTGGACTATTATGTTCTTCTTTGACTGGACTATTATGTTCTTCCTTGACTGGACTACCATTTTCTTCTTTGACTTGACTATTATTTTCTTCTTTAACTGGACTATTAGTATTTATTTGACTTACTGACATATTATTACTTTCTAAAATTACTACTTGTTTTATAGCCATTTCATTATTTTCTTCATCTTCTTCACTCTCTTGTTCTTCAGTAACAGACTTTATTTTATTTTTATTGAATCGACAAACTTTTGATGTATGGCCTCTTTTTTACAGATAAAACACTCCCAATTAATAGCTGGACAGGCTTTAGACAACTCATGCCATCTTCCACATCTACTACATCTGTTACGAGGACTATTCGATTTTTGACTACTAGTATTTTGACTATTCTGACTTGTACTGTATCTTTGACTGCGATTCTTAACTATCTTATTTATACTCTCTTGATTAATCGATCTAGCTTGACCTTCAGCAAGTTCTACTCCTAGTGCAGTTTTACAAGCATCTGCATAGGTTAAGTTTTCTGTATCTAATAACTTTAATTTAATTTTTTCGGATTGAAGTCCACAAACGAGCTTATCCCTTAGAGCTTCATCTAAAAATTGCCCAAACTGACAATGTTTGGAATAATTTTTAAGTTTCTCTAAGTATTCAGTTATACTTTCATTGGTTTCTTGACGACAATTGTAAAATTTGTAGCGCTCTGCTATCACTAACCTCTTCGGACTAAAATGACTAATTAATATATTTTTCAATTGTACATATGTTCGACTGCTGGGTAGGTCAGGGGACAGTAGGTCTTCAAGTACGCCGAACGCCTCACCTCCTATTAGCGTCAGAAAAGTGGGCACTTTTTTATCATCCTGGACTTCATTACAAAGGAATAATTGTTCCATTCGTTCTATATATGTGGTAACTTCTGTTTCTCTAGGATTGAACTGTTCTATTGAACCTATAAACGGCATATTTCTGACTGGCAATGACAAGGACTTACTTGACAAAGTTTTAATCGACTGGACTTTTCTTTTTTTTTTTATTATTATTGCAGGTTCTTTCTAGTTTCTCGTCGCCAAAATGTTATATAGTTGCCCCAGGATTAGTACTCAAACACCATAGCTTTTAAGAACACTTTATTGAACATTTACAGATACAGAAAAACTCTCACGATCACGCGCCAAGACTCACCTTCTTTTTTTTTATACCTAACCTCCAACATCAATATGTTGCCAATTGACATTTTTGGTGCGTTCGGTTGTTGCACAATATTTGTTCATTTATACAACAGGATGATGATTTTCTAATGGACCCAACTATTAGATCTTGACTAAATTGATATGGGATCACCCCCTTTCAAACAAAAATAGAATGATAACAATCGGACAACGTTGTAAAGAATTATCGCTGAGCATATATAAAAAAAATATTTATCCATTTTTGAAGTCAGTTAAAAATTAAGATATCTTAAGAATTTATTCTGTAACTTTTCCAATTCTTGTAAAGCAATTAAATATTGTCCCTGCTACATAATTGAAGCAAAATCCATTTTAGATCGTACTAATGTAAAATAGAGGGATCTAACTTAATTTATATTTGAAAATGGCTGTATTTGTCCTAACGCCCGGTTTGGTGCTTTGACAGTTATAAACGATAGCTATTATAAGTTACTCTTAACTCCTTACTGTCCTTAACGTTCAGACATATCTTTAATGATTCGCCATTCATTTAATATTTGTTATTTTCGGCGAATAATAGTAAGTTAATAACATTTTCTTTATACTAAAATTTACTATGTTTATCTTTATATACTTTGAGGTCATCAGCAAGAAGTAAACATTTGGAATATTTAATAACTCTTGGCAGGTTATTGACAACTAGTAAAAACAATAATGGTCTCAAGTTATATCCCTGTGAAACTCCTGAAACAGCGTGAAATGTTATGTCAAGATCACTAGAACCGTAGTTATACCTCACGAACCGTAATACCGCGGGGACCCAGTGATCTTGGTGGTCCGTTTGGTAAGGTAAGGGATAAAGCAAATGATTTGGAAAAATATCGAGTACATATTAAATATAGATTTTAGTATGACCACCCATAAAAATCTAGAATACAATACATCATAAAATGTAAATGAGCAACCTCTAAGAAATTAACCAATAATTCTATACCTCAGTGATGGGGAAACACGAAATTACATTAATACAAAAAATAGTAAACTATCAATATACTGGATATTAGGTTAGGATATTTCCGTAAAATTTATTAATAAATAGACAACCAACCAAATTTATATGATATACTAAAAAATAAATCATATTTCGTTTTTTTTTAAACGGGATGATTCCATATAAATATTTTTGTTTGTATTTCGAGTACTAGCGTCATATAAACTTATTATGATTAAAATAAATATAGAGTTACATACTTAAATAAATAAGTCGTTTTCTCCTGATAAGTTGTTATCATCATCAGTTTCCTTACTTCCCAGAGAAATAATAAATGGTTTTATTGTTTCCTCTATTAAGATATCAAGTTTTCAGAATTTCTCTACTATGACATGTTTTATAGCGTTTTGCCAATTGTCCGGTGAAATTTTTGATATCGAGTCACATAATAGTTCACAAACATCTTTAATTGTACTGTGTCTCGCAACATACCCCTTCATTTGAGCTCAGATTAGTTCAGTGGAGTTCACAGTGATAAAATGGTAACCGCAACACTATAACTCCATGATCTTTTGCTATTTTATCTACACTATACCTCAAATTTGGTGAATGTTGTTTACCTAACTGCAAGAGCTTTTTTATGTAATCCCTCTTCTGTTACTATTTCTTCTATTTCTAATATTCTTATACTTATTATCCCTTTACGGCCTTTACCTATCTATTTCAATCTAGAGTAGTTGTAATCCCTATTTCGGGTACAATAAACCTTCAGCTTCGGTACAGATGGGAATTGAAACACTCTAATTGAGATAGATAATTATGCACATTCCAAAAATAGGAATATCTGAAACAAAACAAAAATAAAGGCGCAGTATGTATATTAAAAATAAAAATCTGATGTGTTCAACACATGACTTTCCTATCTAGTTATTACAGGCTTTTTTCGGTTATTTTGTACAACCTATTGTAGCACCTCTGTAAATATTTGGAGGTTAACTTAATATATACATTTTCCACATATATCTAACTCGAAACATTTTTCTATATATACTCATAGCCAACGAAAATGCTGAAAACTTTAAATTTTATACTTTTTCTCCAATTTTTCCATTCCGGTCCATTTTAGAGAAATTATGTAAAAAAAAAAAAAATTATAGAGATTGATATTGCAAACAACTTTTAGTTCTACAATTTTCTTAAAAATCAGAATTTTTACATTTTGAAAAATTTCTCGAATACGGACCATTTTCGGAAAATTTTGTATTGAACAAAAATTATAAAGAATAATATTATTAGAAGTAACTTTTATTCAAAGAATTTTCTGCTCTGAATGTATACAGGGTATCCTTTAAAATGTGTTCCAAAATTTTCAGGCAGATTCCTTAACCAAAAAATGGAAAAAAAGTTCCTATAGACCTATGTCCTAAAGTGCCCCCTAAGCGAGCAACAGCCTCTCGAAATCATTTTTTTTATTTTGATTTTTTGAATTTTCTTAAAAATGGAAACAAATAAAAGAACCAAATTTTGGCTGTTAAATATGATCAATAATAGTGACCTTTTGACACCTTCAAAAAGAAATTATTTCGTCAGGGGTGTACTTGGGAATTTTTTGAAAATTTTGATTATTCATAACTTTTTTGTGTTTTTGGTAATGACTTATCCATATTTTTTTTTACATTCTACATTGAAAACTACGTCAAAAAGGAATACTTGTTTGATCTCGATTGGAGCAGCCGTTTCCGAGAAAACATCATCCAAAGATATTCGTGCAGTTTAGGTTAATTTTCAATTTTGGCTGTTGTAGCCAAAAAGTTGGAAATCGAGGAACACGGCTTACATGTCCCTATCCTTACTTTTGAAGGTCTATTCAGTGGCAAAAAATATTAGTTGATACAGGGTGATCAAAAATCGGATGTGATTTTGAATTTTTGATCACCCTGTATCAAATAATATGTATTTTATGTCACTGAATAGACCTTAAAAAGTTAGGATAGGGACTGTAAGCCGTTTTCCAACTGTTTGGCTACAACAGCCACCTGAATTTGAAAAAATGTGATTTTTGAGTAGCTGTAGATCCTTTACTATTCATATTAGATAACAAGTGTGATATATCATTGAAATCAGATTATCGAGCAAATTCTAAAAATATAAAAATATACAGGGTGTTCCATTTAAAAAACATAACTTTGATTTGGCACGGCCTTATGAAACACCCTGTCACATCGTAACTAATTTTAAAATGTGAAGCTTAAAGCTGCCTACTTTTATTATAACAGATCTACAGAGCTTCCTCACACTAATCAATCACCCTGTATACTATTTTTAGCTCTCTAAATAAAATTTAAAAATTTAGTTCCCATTTATTTATTATGAAGACCATAAGGTTTGTATTTAGCTGTTTAGAATAAAAAAGTAAAAATATGTATTTTTTTGGCGTTTTTGTGTTTCATGGATAATTTTTTTCGCTCACTGATAAAAATGTTTCTTCAGTTAAACATTATTTCTAAAAGTGTTCTGGTGCGATTCGTTGTATTGTTATTATTTTGTTTAAAATGGCTCACAATAACTACAATAATGATTACACATTCGGCGAAATGACGGACATGCACTTATGTTTTGGACTCGCTTCTGGAAATGCCAATGAAGCTCGCAGACTTTATCAGGAGCGCTTTCCAAATAGGCATCTTCCATGCGCTAAGACGTTTTCTAGAATTGACGATAGACTTCGGGAAACTGGTACATTTAAGAAAAACTCTAGTAACAGTGGAAGACAAAATTATGTGAGAACTCCTGCTTTGGAAGAAGCAATTTTGGATAGGGTAGCTGAAACCCCATCGACAAGTACCAGAAAAATAGCAAATGGTAAGTAATTACTTATTTATTATTTTAGCTACCCCGTACCTTATCGTATAAAACTAGTTTTTTTACTTGTTATTGCTTCTCTTACATTTCACGACTTTTCGTATCGAAAAGAGTTGCGTTATGCAGAAAAAATCTGATTTCCC